TAACGTCGCTGCTCCGCGGCAGCCGATGCGCCGATGCCACTGACACTGTGTTGGCCGGGACGCGGCAGCTGAGTGCCAATTCACGCGCAGGCCCCCTCAGCCGGAGCAAACACGCCCCGGCGAGTGAACAGCGCTGCCTGGGAGAGTCCCAGCTGGCCACTTTTTGCTGCGTTGCGCTGCGATGCGATGCGAAACGAAACGGAAATGAAAAGAAGCACAACAACCAAAATCACGGACTTATGATCTCAGGAAACCACCGGCGACAAACCTCATCTAGTTAAGACGGCACATTATGTTTGTTCCACAGAAATTCCCTGCGAAGAGCGAAATCGGTTACTGAAATTCCAGTTTTCATCTGCCAAGAGACGGCGCTCTCTCTCGTCTCGCACATAGGCTGCAATGTGGAGCGCTTCGCTGATTGGTTGACACATTATGCTACTTCTCAGTTCCGTTTCGCCTCGCATGACATTGCGATGCTACTCAACGGAAGTTGACCGGTGTGAGGGGCCTTTAGTGTAGGCAAACGAGTCAGCTGACCAGCGTTGAATGTAGTCTGTCGCTGAGCGCTTACCACGCTCAACATCCATCACATGTAGGGCGTTCTCAGCATGCTCGTCGATGACAGATGGCTTATAACTGCACACACTTGCAAACAGTCTGTTCTTTCCGCACTTATGAAGCGTTGCACGATGAACTATGCTGGTTTAGTATGCTGCAGTCCTTACAGAAGCATGTCCAGAATGCTGGTGCCTTCGACGACAAACTTGGCGCACCCTGAGTTTGACTGCACGGACAGCAGGAACTTTTCCCTTTCTGCCAAGCATTTTGGTGCATCAGCTAAAACCATGGGCTTTGCCTCAGGTTTACTTCCATTAGCAGTCACTTCTGGAGCCCAAGGCTGGAGATTTACTCCACTGCATTGTCTCCTTACAATGCACCTGCCATTGCACTACGCTGCAAGCCGGTAATGGATTACGTTATCTGGGTCGTCCACGAAAGCGAAGTATAAGCAGGTAGCTGCTGACGACGCCAAAACTTCTGGCGCTCCGAGGCAACATTCTTGCTTGGAGCAAAGTACTCACTCAGCCGCTGCTGAGCAAATTGAAATTCAGCTTCTCTTTCATTCTCCAGTCCGTGCCAGTCAGATGTGTCTGGAAAACGGAGGGGCCTCAGCCGCCAAGCAATGAGGGCAGGTAGACCTCTGACGGGCATCGTTTAAGTTAAACCACCTAACCACCTAAGCGACAATGCAGTTGTTAAACAGCTGTACTCAGTGCAGGCGGTTCGCTGGCCGGCGGCAAACATCTGCCAAGATTGTGAGGGAATGCTTGGAAGGTATGGTTTGTACCACATCATTTGTCCTTGGCCTAGTTGTTCGCACCCTTGCGGATCATTAAACAAAGTTTTGTCTACCAAGGGGACTGCGATTGGTTTGGATATTGTCACGAGCTGAATGTTCGTTTAACTGCATTTTCCTCCGGTGCATTTTGCTCGCATTCTATGTTTTTGATCTTCATCGCGTGCGTAACCTAGATGTGGCACAAACTTAAACCCTAGCTAACGTCTTTCAGGTTAATCTGCGCCTTCCGCTTGACCTGCGGTCCTTTAGTTTGAGAAGCGACTGTTTATCCCAGATGTCGATTCCTTTGCCCGGTCCTCAACCCTGCACTCTGCTCCACAGCCCTTGGATCCGGTCCTCAACCATGTAGTCTGTTCCACAGCCCTTGGGCCCGGTCCTCAACCTTGCAGTCCGCTCTACAGCCCTTGGATCCGGTCCTCAACCCTGCAGTCTGCTCCACAGCCGTCGGATCCGTTCCTCAACCCTACAGTCCGCTCTACAGCCCTTGGATCCGATCCTCAACCCTGTAGTCCGCTCTACAGCCCTTGGGCCCGGTCCTCAACCCAGTAGTCCGTTCCACAGCCCTTGGTCCCGATCCTCAACCTTGCAGTCCGTTCTACAGCCCTTGGATCCGGTCCTCAACCTTGCAGTCCGCTCTACAGGCCCTTGGATCCGGTCCTCAACCTTGCAGTCCGCTCTACAGCCCTTGGATCCGAGCCTCAACCCTGCCGTCCGCTCTACAGCCTTTGGGTCGGTCCTGAACCCTGTAGCCTGCTCCGGCCTTCCGCCCCCCCCCCCCCCCCCCCCCCCTGTTCTCCCCTAATCCCTCCGTGCCACGTGGCGCCAAGGCCCGGCGACGATGAAATACAATGGTGGTAATCCGGCTGCTCCTGCCGTGCTTGGGTCGACTCAAAGGGACCGCCCCCCCCCCCCTCAGCACCGGTGCCAGGTGGGGCCCCTGACACGAACGTGCTGCTGGGTGCCGGGTCTGAGCAGCTCGATAAGGAGATCAGGCGGGGTCTAAGTGGATACTGTCCGAACCGCTCTCGTTACCGCCATCCTTTGTCCACCGTCATTGTTAAATGAACGGGGAGCATGGACAAGAACATGTAGTGCGTACAAGTAGCTGGGTCTGAATCGGAACACGCACAGCGGAGGTATAGCAGCGGCTTTGGTCGGAGATGGACACTGGCGGAATATAAACATGGCATCATAACAGTGATGAGAGATATTTCTGAATGTGGACTCGGTGGAATGTGTCTGTTAAAGAACTATTCGTTGATTTCCTGATGTGGCAAGGCCCCGGCATTCATGGGCGCACTTTTGTAAGCTTCGAACCTTGGTGGCTCAGGAACTACCAATGTTATGCGTTGCGAAAGGATCGGGGACGCGCTCTGTTGTCTTTTTCAGCAGCTTAACGGTCGCCAAACCGGCCATCTTCGCGTGCGCACACCATCTTCGCATGCGCAAACTTTGCTCGGGCATTATCTTTTCAGCTTGTCGGTGTAATAGGCTTAGGATGGTGCCGCTGGTCCTGATCATATCAAGCTAATTAGCCCCCACCCGCGCGACGATGGGACAGAGGGGGTGGATCGCTCGCGTTTGAAGTGCTGCTTTGTGGAACGTTCTTTTGTGGCGGCTATTTAAATCAGGAGGCCAGAGGAGCGGGTTAGTCACTCAAGAACTGACTCCAACAGCCACTGCCGATCTCCTCGAGCCAACGCACTCTTAGCTTGCTCCAGCCCACCGCTCCTGCCCTCGTTCCAGCAGGTCACATTAAACTAAGCTCCGAAAGACCACCCCTCTCCTCGGCCTCTACGCGCCGTTGTGAATCGAACAGCGATGGCAGCGGGAGGTGGGACCGGCCGCGGATTCAGTCCGATGGTGTGGGGGTCGGAACTCGCCGTGAATCCAATGACGGCGGACAGGACTGGCCGTGGATGCGATGGCGGCGTGGGGAATAGCCGTGAATCCGATGGCAGGGGCGGAACTGGCCGTGAATCCTATGGGGGGGAGGGGGGGGGGGGGTTGGAACTGGCCGTGAACCCGATGGGGGGAGGGGGGTTGGAACTGGCTGTGAATCCGATGGCATGGCCGAATCTGGCGGTGAATCCGATAGCCGTGGCGTGTGGAGCTGGCTGCGAATCCGATGGCGGCGGGTGGGGCCGGCCGTGAATCCTATGGCGAGGGCGGAATTGGCAGCGAACCCGATGGCGACGGGGTAGGGGAGTAGCAGATGACGGCGGGCAGCATTGACCACGGCGGACTGACCATTGCCGACCTGTGCTGGACCTGCGTCCGCCGGCGCCCGGACAATGCCGGCCGCTTGCATCACGCGGCAGACGCCGCCCAGGGCCTATTCTCGGCCGCGGCATATATCGGGCTCGGTGCGCCGCCAATGTAAACGGCATCGGCGCAGCTCGTGCTGGGCATGCCGCCGCGGCTGTTGACGTGATCAGAGTGGCGTCTAACAACAAAGCAGCCGGTCAGGCGGCGTGTTTTCGGCGTTGGATGGCGTTTTGACGGGGGATGGAGCCGCCCGGCGCCGCCCGGACGAACAATGCGCCACTGAAGTGACGGGCGGGTTATGTCGGTGGGAAGGCGATTTATTAGTCAGATGAGGTGGAATGTCGATTAATGCGATGACGAGGGTCGTGCGGGTTGGATTCACAAGTGAACGCAGGGATTGGTGGTTTGTTATACTGACATCGTCGTCGGCCAACTGACTGAGCTTATGCTGGCCAGCCGACTGACGGAGCTTACGTTGAAGGGACCTTATGGTGGCTGACCAACTGACTGGTCTTACGCTGGCTGACCAGATGAGTGAGCTAATGCTGGCTGAGAAACTCACTGAGCTTACGCTGACTGGCCAACTGAGTGAGCTTACACTGATTGACCAACCTAGTGAGTTATCCTGACTGACCACCAGGCTGAGTTTACGCTGGCTGAAGAACTGACTGAGTCTGCGCCACCTCACCAACAGACTGAGGACACTAAGTTAGTTTGCCCTCACGCGATCGCGTTTTGTGGCTTTCAACTGGTGTTACGAAGAATACGATTTGCTCCTATAAGCTGACACAAGAACTACTGTAATGCTAAATGTCAGTGATAAGAAGTTTATTAGGAAGACGGTAGCTAATGCCGTAAAACAAAAGTACAATCCACTGCCACGAGAATAGTTAATAACAAACATTGCTGTCCACAAACCTTACAATCCACTGCCACGAGAATAGTTAAAAACAAACATTGTTTTGGGGGCTTAATTTTGTAACAATCCGTTGTGACGATGTAATGGAAAACTGCGAAAACCCAGTTGCACCTGGTTGTGATCACCTGAGAGTGTAGGTACTGACCATTGAAAGGCAACGACTCTGGGGTGCGCGCTGCTCTCCTGGGAGCCTCTGTACACGCCGCCCAGTCTCAGCTCGCGCCGGCTCGTTCCGACCCACAGCCGTCGTGCTCGAGAGCGGCTGCTCTTCGGCACGTGCACCGCGTGCCGGCCGGCTCCGTGATGTGTTCCTCGTTAGCGGACTGGTCGTGCAGGGGTGGGTGATCGCCTCCCCCCCGCGATCGTGCAGCAGCCACGCGTCCCGCTGTAGGTCAGAGGTGGGTCGAAAGCGCCGATTACCGAGTTACAGGGTCGTGTTCTTTTGTGCTACAGGTTTGAGCACCCGGGACACTCCCTCGGAGATCGGAGGTCGCTGAGACTGCCCCCAGCCGGCGATCGCGGCTGAAGATGGAGACCGAAGTCAATATTACGGTAAGTGGCGCTCCGTCGTGCGCTTCGAAGAGTCGTCGTATATCAAATAATCGAGCTGCAATATGGTGATATTTTCCAACAAAAATATATTATTCGTCAGTCGAAAAGCGTCACCGTGTTGTCTGCACTGCTTTCCGCTAGAAGGTGAACGATGGCGGAGGGAACACTGGGAGACGAGCAACGGTGGACAGCGTCGATCCATGTCGTTGCGATGCGACGACGCTGGCTGTGGCTGTGGTTGTGGTGAGGTCATATTTTAACCACTTCACCAGTCGGGTAGAGCGAATATGCACCGTCCGCCTTGATCATTACCTCCCGCGACACGGCCTCAACATTTTCATAACTGACTGGCATTTCATCAAACGGTGCTGATCGAGCGTTGAATGACCGTAACCATGACGACCGAGACTCACTTCAGCCGACGACATGATCAACGGGCGGGCATTCGGCGAGTGATTTTCATCACCTCGGTCAGGCCTCGCGTGCAATTGTGAGCCATGCTCGGCCATAAGCTGACCACCGGCTGACGGCTCCTGGTCCACAGAGCTGGATTGATAGACAGCCATCGAGTATTGATACCACCGCGGCGCTGAATCCCGCCTAGTGCCGACGCGGCGTCGCGGCGTCCCAGCGTTTTAATATCATCGCTGAGCGGAGGCAAACAATAGAAGAGCGGAGCTCAGAGGGGGGGGGGAGGGAGGAGGGGGGGGGGGGGAGGGGCACAAACGAACCGCGCGAGTCTGCGTCAAGCTAGGGTACGAAGACGACGATGGTGGCGACTGTGGGCATGGCTAGGGACGGCCAGCGACCGGCCCACCGGAGCCCCGCACGACGGCGCGCCCGGCCAACGCCGATCGTTATCGATGCGGCGGCACGACCCCGTCACAGGGTCTGTCGCCGCGACCGCGCACCGTCAGCCGAGGCGCACAGCTGACTGCCCCTGCGTGCAGCGATCGGACGCGTGGATGATGTATGACCCCAATCAGGCAGCCATTTGTCTCTTGAGGTGGAGGCAATCAGGGAACGATCTCGCAAGGGTCAACGCATCCGACCGGCTCCTAAATCTCCATCGATTATCGACTGAATTCGGTTCCGTGGCGGAGCGTCTGAGGGCATCTGCTTTATAATTGCGATGGTGGGTATCTCGCATGTGGCACAACTACTGAGCTGTCTGGGATTCGGAGTCTGCACGGCACATATTGCAGTCCTCTGCGGTATTTGCCAATGAGAGACGGAGGCGACTGCGTGGTGAATAATGTGAATAGAAATAGCATGTTGACGTTGAATTGCGGACTTTTTGGACTGGTGTAAGGCTTGCGACAGTGATGTACTGACTTGTCCGGTTTAAGTGCTGAGACAGTTTCATTAAATTACACGAACAAGATAAATCATGCGCTGAGCGAAATGCTATCAGCCAGCGCCTGGCCTCAGCGACGGTAGCTAGTGATTGCGGTCGCAGACTAGAGCTAGGTCTTAAATTGTCAACCTGACAAGCAGACTCGGACTGACGGCAAGAAAGACGTCCTTAGGACATCATTATTAGCATCAAAGATTCCGTTTGCGGTGAAATCAACGGCGCGTTCATGTGCATCCTGAACAACCAGCGGTATGTTTTTCTGATCAATTGCCGTGGTGGCGAGTTGCCTCTTTGACTGCGGCCTTCTTGTCTGGCGTCCGGGATTGTGGTCTTTTTACCTGGTGACATGCTGTCTGGCTTTAAGCACTGGTTAACCTATTGCTATCGCCGCCAATGCAATTTGTATAACAGCCCATGCATCGTCTACCAAAGGACTGGCAGCTTGAGTCCGTCATGGTTCGGTTAGACCCGTGGGTGGTTGTACTGAACGAGGAAATCCATGGAATGGACATGGCATTTTGAAGAAAAAATCCGAGTGCAGGTATGATCGCGGGTATAGGCGTGACAAAATATGAACATGATCATGGCTACCAGCAATGCAGAATGTGTAGACTTTAAGAAAGGAACAAAAAGCTAGGACCAAACGCGTGCCAATCACTAGTGCCAAATCAAAGCGATCGGTATTGACCTGGTTTAAAGTCGAGCTCCATGATTGTTCCACCTATCTCGAATGGCGGTCAAAAAGACAGTCACGTATACCGTACGTGCGCTTTTGATAAGGGGGTGGAGGTGAAATGGTGCGGGATTGAGTAACTTGTGTGCAGACCTTTGCATCCGCCGAATTCCAAGTTGCTGGGTCATGACCGCGTGAATCCGGAGACTCAAAGTCCAAATATCTTGTCACTGACCACCTTAATGTTGGTGTTATACGTAAATAACATCCAATCGTATATAATGTAACAATAACATCGTATCAGAGGAGATATTCAAGTATACAACTTTTGATGCTGCCAATTCCAAGGCCCTTCCGGCAGAGGGGGCGAACCCAAGACATCCACCAGTCCCGTGCAGTTGAACCTGCTGGGTCACAGTGGAGCTGCTTGTCGATTGGTATGCATGTTACGATCCTGGCCGCCGAATTTCACCACCCAGCTGTAGGATGGTGACAATGGAAGAGGGGTGCCAGTGGGGGAAGGGGGCGGGGGACGTGCTGTTACGCTCCACGTGCGATATGCAGCACCTGATCGGCTGGATTTGGCCGAAACTGATCACACTGTCACCTGGCCATGAGCAAGCCCATCGTCACACCAGACTGCGCCGTCCGACTCTATGCAATCGGGTCTCAGGGAAAGGCGATGTAATGGTTGAACACGCCTATTACGCGGATGTGTATAATATGTATGTGAAAGAGAGACACGGAGATGTGGGTGTTAAGCAGATCAATACTGAGTGAGCCTCATTTGCGCATGCTGGTGTGTTTCCATTAAGCCATGTAGCCGGCGGTGAAGGATATAAGCATGTGCATCAGCTTCTGAAATGTGAACGACATTTGTTTGTCATAGACGAATCAATGGACAATTACTATATTTTTGTCATGCTCTGTTTGGATACTTACAGGCTTGGCACACTTGGCATGATGCAAGCATTGTGATAACTGTAAATAGTGGTATTTTCATGCCCAGTTATGTTTTAATACAGAAGAAGTGTGAAAGCTATGCACGATGAAGTTCTGTTGAAAACGTTTTATTTCATTAGCTTATATTCTACACAGGCAGATAATTGCAAAGGGGTGAATGAGGTTTTTATATCGCTGATAATGGGTGAGCACAGGCACGACCATTCAGCCACGGGGCGTGTGCAAGTTTGCAAATCTAGCCCATGAAGGCCTCTTCTAGCAGCTAAACCCGGCTAGCGGGTCAGACAGTCTGTAATGTGTAGAACAGGTTGCAGCACGTCTCATGGGCTATGCTTAAATACAGCAATTGTCGTGTTAATCCAGCTGCATGGGCGACTAAATGCGTGTATAAAGTATATCTGACAACGTAAATTGCACGGCTTGAGATTAGAGGCCTGGTGAACACGGTCTGTTTCTGAGCCCTGACGGGACCAACTACGGCATTTTTGAACAAGGTAGTACAATGCATAAGACAACTGCCGAATTATGACCATTTTGACGAAGGATTCACGTTTTATGCCATTGTAACAATTCAGCATAACGGGAAATGTTACGTTCTTAGAGTCACTGATATCTATTTTCAATCCTGTCTTTATTTTGTCCTCCCCATCCCGCTTTAAGGGAGGTGCTCAGTCTTGCCCTACTCAAGACCGAAGATCTTGTAGTTCCTGAGTCACATGCCCGCTAAGATGCGCAGACTTTTTCAAGGTCATTGAGGCAAAGCTGCACAAGCTTTAATCACGAATCATGTTTTATGCTATATAATGTAAGAAATTTGACGTGATTGCGATTCATTGCGGAAATGATACTTGTAGTCAAATAACTTAAGAATAGCTCCCTAGCCGAGTATGCAAATACAAGTAAACACTCTGAACCCACGGATAAATATGTAAGAACACCCCAAAAAAGGGCCAAAACATGAGCACATAACGATGTTTGGTTTCGCAAACACCTCCAGCTCCGCCACGGCCACCTCCCGGAAAATTGAAGATAAGTGCCAAGACAAGTGAGACGGGAAACAAGTTTGTGCTTGGGTGACAGTTTCGCACGGCTAGTCTGGCGGCACATTAACATCGTACAAACGCTCTATGATGAAATCAAACAGTGGCGTATTAAGAAGCATATTTACTCAGTAGAGAAACTTTGTCTGATGGAGCAGCCTTTTCCACTTGTAAGTGTTTTTATAGTTATGAGCGAGCTTATTTCATCATATCTTATGCTTGCATTGCTTTTTCCTAAGAAATGGAGCATTCCCTTGAAACGAGGTACGGGAAACGATTGCATTGTTTATCCGCGAAAGACGCCTCTAGGTTTTGGAGTTGTCGGTGTAAGCCCGTATTCTGCTATGATGTTTTAGGCATTGTTCTGGTTGATGGTCAGCTTATATTCTGCTCTGATGTTTGAGGTATCGCTGCGGTTGATGCAATGCATGCAAAATCTATCGTTTTTTACGTGACCATGACATCCCAGTTGTGAAACGGCAATCCTTAAACCAAGCACAATGTATGCAGCCTTGTCAAATATGACATTTCATCCGCTTGCAGTGCTCGTGAGAATGCCTCCAAAATACCTTGATTTTAAAAGACTGTAACATGTCTGCCAGGTGGGAGGCTGGATAATCTGTTGGATCCGCCAGGATTTTGAATGTGAAGCACCTTTCCCACGCACTCATAACAGGAAAAGGTACCAAATAAACATAAAAACCGCCTACAATATTAAAGGCATGCAAATACATTGTTACTTGAAGTTACGTATATATATATATATATATATATATATATATATATATATATATATATATATATATATATATATATATGTGTGTGTGTGTGTGTGTGTGTATTCATGTTTAAAACTTACGTCCCAATGTGCTCAATAGCGTGTGAAAATGTAGATCATTCGGCGTCTGCGAAATTAGTAAAAATGGGTAATGTTCGGATAACGTGTCAGGTGTCTCCTGGCGTAAGG